GCCAAGCTATAGACCTATGAATTAAAGCAGAAAATATTACCTTTACGGTACAATAACGACGAAAAAGGAAGACAGCATTGAAAATAATACAAATAATGAAAAAAACTGACGGAATCGGCTGGCAAAATGGACAGCCTGGACCTAGTTTCCTAGTCTGCATTTCACAGACCAAAGTCTTGGATCTTCTACTCGAATCCAGGCAAACAGGCTGGCTACGCGGGCGTTTTTAGGTTTTCCCCACCTGTATATGAGCCAGTTTCACGAAGTCCTTCACGAATGCATCCTTATTCTTAGGCAGATAGCCCTCGCGTGCTTTGCCATAATTAAATAAACTTAACCAACCCAGGAGCTCCTCCAATAACTATGAAGCTCTAGACAGGGTAATAACGTAAACTTCTGCAACTGCTTGCCGCCTTTCTCAATGCACCTCAAAAGATCTATAAAGTGTCAAACAGACAGAAAGAGACATAAATAAAAATTCTTAGTAAAACTTTTATTCCAATATTCTAAAACTGCGATTTTGCTTGTTTTCTGTCGCCCCGTATTTTATAGTCAATTAACAAATCAATCGAGTCCAAAGGGATGATTCTTTCATGGCTCCGTTTTGTCTTTCTCAGCAGTACATATTTCGAGAACTCTTCCCTCAAGAATACTAGTGTCATAATTTGGCTGATAATCGTATTTTTAATTCAAAAGTTGTGATGACGTAAGGGAACGCTTAATAAGAACATGAAGCTGTTGAAATCTTGCTGTGATTTTTTTAATATTCAGTTATTTTCTAAAAACAATTAAATTTCGTCTGACATTTCATATTCTCGTGACTTTGTCTATTCACTAGTGATCAAATGGATAATATTACTGAATACTAAAATTTAACCTGCTTCATATCCCAAAGAAAGGGATGGCTGTATGAGGGTTTTGATACCGTGAATGCGAGCTAGCACTTCATTTGCAATACGAATGTGAACTCGAAATCTGTTTCTAAGCATTTTGTGGAGAATTTTTGTTCTTAACAAAGGCATTCCTTCCCTTTGGCCAGATAAGCATGGTAAGAACTTTAAAAAGCACAAAATTTCCATTCGTTCTTTCTGCTTCTATGACCTATATGACTAACTGCTAGATTATCTCGTGCATGGGAAATGCGATTTCCCCAAAATGTGGCGTCCGCTCGCGCTAGCTACGGCATTCAGCCATGATTCCTCAGAAAACCGTTATCAGATCTGCAAGATATCCGTGACTGCGCGTCGAAAGAAACATTTCCAGGAATCTTTGCTTTCGATATATCCGACTGGTTTGTAGGGTTCCCATTAGTTTGAATGACTAATTATTTTAATTTTGGTATCTTTTCTGAACTTTTTATTTCCCCTCGCATTTCCTTGCCAGGATGCAAATTAAGTTAGGTGAAAAGAGTCAGAATATTGCCAGTAAGTTGTTGTATACTTAGAACAAGCCTTACCCCGAAAACGTTTTTTTGTTTCTGCTTAGTTTCAAAAAGTTTCTATTGTCTGCCCATTTTATGAGACATATTATAAGGTGATATACAGCTTTTCTTTTTTTTTATTTTTAGTTTACACCTTTGTTCTTGCTCTTTGAAAAGCTATTCTTTTTTTCCCAACAGCTATCTTTCACTCCGAAGAAGAGAGAACCCAAACTGCCATCTTGGAGTGTGCCAGATGATGATGACAGCAGCTTGATAAGGCAACATATTTTACAAGATTTCTCCACGGTAGGTGACATCCACGATAATCACCATCATAGTCATCAATATAATTTACCATAGCTGATGCATACAACTAACTATAGCTTCACTTTAAAATTAAGAAATATTAAATCTTAAATTTGTGTATATATTTTATCCTAAATCTTTATAAATTTCGAGGGAATATGTCAAGAATCTTTCCTTTACAACATTAAAAATAAATATTCTGTTTTTTGTTATAAATAACAAATTTAAGTTTACACTGCTAAAATATTCCCACACCCACACCACAACCCCCACCGGCGACAAGAGTCTGTCGCCGGTGTGGGTTGTTGAATCAGCCTGTTAGCCTTAATTGTGTAGTCTAGCTCTACTCTTTACATTTTTTTTTTAATTTATTGCTAAATTTACCTTAAGTTCTCACCGCAAGTAGTCGGTATTTTGTGAGCATAAAGTACGTGCATTTTTGTTAAAGAGTTTGAGAATAAAAAGAAATATTTACACCTTTTCCCTGTGTTGTTACTCATCACGCTTGTGCGAGAAGTTGCTAGGCTTACTGCTAAGATTAGACAACTTGTATGATCGCAAAGAAGACTTAATCTTACGGGTTGACTCAAAGACCAGTTCTTTGAGGAAAACCTACGCAGGATGCAGCTGCAAGCGGAATATTTTCACCTCAGTCGCAAATGTCGTGGCACTTAGGCCGGGGTATCGGTTCCGGCGAGATTGTATCAGCTAAGAACCATCCAGTGGTAAGACAAGAAACTCGTTTCTCGAAAACGTTTTATCTAACACCACGAGTGGCTAGACATGTACAGGTAGAAGCTAGGCTAGCACCTCCGTAGTACCACAGGTAATTGAGGTATTGCTGAACCTAGCTAACTGTTAAACTTTCCACCCCAAGTTTGCAACCCCACAAGTTTGAGACAGAACATCCCGGGGAGTGGTCCGAGGATCACCCTCCCCTCTTCCTTTACCATCAACCCCTTGAGAGTACTTTCTGCGATCACTGATTTCTGGTATTATTAGTGTACACAAATCATACTGAGAAAAAACTGCCTTGAAAAGTTGAACAACTGATGCTTCCAAAAGTCTGGATAACCCCATACAACGTGGAAACAGAGAATCTGCATTCACTTTTATCTGCAGGCTACACCAACTTCTCGGCGGCGCTCACCATGCGGTGTTGGTTGGTGGAGAAACTCCGAAAATTCTGCACTGATATGCAATTAGCATACTTTTACAAAGCTGATGAAAGTGACATCCGGATTACGTCAGTATTAATATATTCATTTATTATTAGTGTTAATTATGACATTTTTAGTTTTCGCAACTATTATAGTGAAAAGATTTTATTTCATGTTTCGTTAAGGATACATGACTTGTATGTTTTTGTATTGTCTGTGATCAATTTTCAACATGGCCGCCACTGTTGACAAGCTAATAACCAGAAGATAAATTAAGTTGATTTACATACTTGAAATATTACAGTTAACTATAGATTTAAATATTTAAAACTGAAGTTAAATATAGCATTCCTCCTTTAGCTTCATTAGTATGTTACAATCCTGTCAAAGAACTCTCAAGCTTATTTAGCAAAAATAGGAAAAAGAAAAGAATTAGATATACTAGGAAGTACACGAGCAGAAGTGTCTTCGACGTCAATTAATGACTAATAGATCTATTATGAAACAGGAGAAATCCCACACAAAGAAACAGCGGTTAAAATGCCTCCTCTTCCCCCCAAAAAAGAGGACATAACATATAAAAATATCACTCCCAATCTACAAAACGGTGCGCTGGCAGTTTTTATTCTATTATAACTTCATCTAACATTTACGTATCGTTATAAAAATCTGAGCTTGGGTAATCCTTAAACTCAAGACCTCTAGGCAGCTATGCCAAGCTACCGAAGTTGATGACCAGATTCGGATAATTTCTACTGGAAGCGAAGATTTGTACCCTAAGCAGTTTTTCAAATGAGTATTAAAAAAGGCACTGCGGCCTGATTAAGTAGGAGCTTCTTCAAGTTTCTTGAGGGCTGAAAATTTTTCAGATACTTCTCTGAGATAGCAAGCCTGAGAAAGACGGCTTTAAATTTTTATTGCTCCTTCTAAATGACTTATTCCGGAAAACAAATCTAAAGTAATTAACTGTTTTTTACACCAAAGGGAATTACTGAATAACGAAAAATATATATGCGGCTTTAAAATATAATTCCAAAAGCAGCGCCCGGTTAAAAAAGTACAGCTCTGTTCCAAAAGGGAGAGAGAAGATAAAAATGCATTTGTGAAATCTAATTTCAGCTTCGGTCTGTATTTTCAAAACTTAAGCTATTAAGAAAAATTATCATTTTATCTCGAATTCGTTAAATAAGCGTACAATGAAGCAAAAGTAAAAAGCATTTAATGAGTAATAATTAAGCAGTCATGGACATGAATTTAAGCACAAACTCCTGTTACTTGTAGATAACAAATACTTATGTAGAAACTTGTCGCCAACCAATTGATTGGACAATTTTACACATCGCCAGCCTCTCTAATCTGAAGGGATATTTGGCATCTTAAATTTCAACAATAATTTCTACATTGAATATGGTTAATTTGTCTTAAATTTATATTGTGATTATTTATCACTTATTTAATGTGTCAGCAAATGTTTTGTAAAATTTTGTTCACAAACGGAACTAATGGACTTAAGAAAAGCTGCTGCAACGTTTCCTAGAAATGAGTTTTAATAAAACAGGAGTGAAAAACACATTCCTAAACGGACTTTTAGATACAGAATGCAATTTTCTCGCTAAAGTGAATAATAACGGACTTTTGAATCTCGTGCGATTCTAGCTGCCGAATGAAAAAATAGTTGGTAAGCAGAATCTTAGGAATTCAAGCCCCTTAAACAAAATTCTAGGAAGAGTTGCGGCTGACTTAGAGTAACAGCCACTAGTAGTGAATATAACAGACTAGCTATACAGAAACATATATTATGTTTCTGTAATAATAGCTGTACAGAAACATATATTATGTTTCTGTACAGCTAGTCTATAAACTAGTATATAATATTATAAGTCTATAAACTAGACATATTATATAGTCTATAGATTAGACATATTATATAGTCAATAAACTAGACATATTATAAACTAGTATATATATGTTTCTGTATATATAAACTATGCCCTTTGCCTCCCATTCTTACCCAGATATGCTCAAAGTTTCACTTAACAGCATACTGGTCAAGAATTCATGTGAAATGATAATCTTTAAATAACACTTCTAAAGTATGCTAACTCCTAACTTACCACGCGCCTTTCTTCTATTGCAGCGGCTTAATCTGCCCCTAAAAGAAGTGATATGATTTTGAAAATGTGAACAGAAATAACACATGAATTTAGAAAATTATCTGCTTAATTAAGCTCAAAATAAAACCTTACGCTTTTTCATATAAGAAAGTATATAGAATAATATTTAAAATATGGCAGGACAACGTTTTATTTAATAATACTTCTGAAGACTTTGAAAGAAGAAAAATTATATGTTACCTCGAAGAAATGTGTCTTTTTTACGTTCACTTATACGCATTTATCCTATCAAAAGATATATTTTAGAAACGTATTAAAAATACCTTTATGCCTACCTTTATAATTACCAAGGATATAAATTAAAAATACCTTTATAATTAAGTGATCTCATCATAGTTGTCGTCAAAATTTGATAATGCACTCTCTGAATCTGCAGGTTAAATAAAAAAGTACGTCATCGAATTTTCTTGTATTGCTGTACCTAAAACGTCTTGAAAGATTATACGAAGTACTCTTTGTCGAATCTTCTCATCTCTTTAAAATGCAGTTCACAAAAATTTAGAAGTAATCTCTTAAAGCAATTGTTCCAAATAACGCGAATTCTGCACGTGTCTTCGTTTGAAAAAACAACTTCCAGATTACACTAATTATAGATTACATCTAATGAAATACATTAATTGCAATTTATAGCATTAAGGATAAAAGTTCATATGTGTGTAGATTAAAATTATAGAGCAGTTACTGCATATTCTGAGATGAACATCCATAAACTCTGCGAAACCTGATGGAGCTCTCACAGCATCAGAATCCCACACTTTGGATGTAGTATTAACGAAGATTTACCTTACGCTGCTGTTTAATATTTTGTTCTTAAATGCAGTTTTCCGCTACAAAACTTCTTTTACTACACATTCTCCAAAAATCTGTGCTACGATGGTTTATATTTGAAATACACAAGAATTCACCAGTTAAATATGATAAATCTTCTCAACCTTTTTGTATAACGCACCAAAATAACTTATATTCCATATAATTCACTTTCTCTTGCTAGCGGATGTTTTAATCAACTCTTCTCGGTCTTGGTTCCCAAAGACTAAAAGGGCGTAAACAAGGATTTTATAGTTTTTTCTGAGTATATGACAAATGCGAGAGCCAATATCCATTAGAAAATACTTCAGAGTTATCTCTTCCTTTAGAAAAACATCCTATCAAATGACTTTGAAATAATTGATTAATTAGTTAACTATTAGCAATAATTAATTATTTAAAATTGCCACTCATTATTTCCAAAAAAGTCATCTCTGTTTTTATTACAATAGTTCTTAATCGGAAGAAACAGGAACACATTTAATTAAAAATGAATTTATGAATCGATAATTTTCCCCGTTGAATTACTTATACTACCAAATGCAATACTAGGAAGCTAAAAACAGTCTAAAAACCTTAAATAATAAATAATGACAATAATATACACTAATAAATGACGCGGTTTATGCAAAAGTGTAAAAACTTAACGAAGACGAACTTGTGACATATTTTTTCATATCAAGAGCAATAAAAAGATAACATACCCGTTTTCGTTCGTTTCTACTGAGAAAAGTGTTGACAAAGCTGATACAGTAAAGCGTTGATAGATTTTTTTTTAAACCTTTATAGAAACTCAGTAATTCATTTTCAAATATTTTCCCCTCGTCTTCTTCTAAAATACAATATTCTGTCCTCTTTAATGAACAGACCTTTTCCCCTTTTTGGTGACTGATTTATCAACTTTTTTCACAATTAATAGTCTAATTTATCCGATACAACAGCATTTTAAAATATATATACATCTCAGGAAAGGGTCAGTACATGGGTACGATTTGAATTTTACAAACTCTTCTTCCAAACCTGAAGCTTTAGTTAAGAATATATGTCAAGTCAAAAGAAATCAATTATTTTTCTAACATTAAAAATAACTAGGCACTGCAACAAAATATAATAAAAATATTAGCAGTTTGATCTTTTTAAATCCAATTAAACACTTGAAAATAATTTGGGTTATTTCCAGTTGAAAATAACAGATAATTTGGCACAGTTTTAAACAGGTTTCGATAAACAGATAACTCAATTAAAATAAATGTAAAAAAAAAAAACTGTTATGCCGTTCCTCAATTAAAGAAGTTTTTTATTTAAAATTAACTGAAAGAGCTTATTAATCCCAAAAATATGCTACGTATTGAAAATAAAATATTCTCCTTTAGTTTTAGTTAATAACTAATATATGGATTCTTTTTCAGTCCAGTCAAAATCATTTTGAAAGTCCGTTTAAGGTTAAAACATCAAGTCATTTGAGAAACCCAAGTGTTTATTTTTTCGATTTTTTTTTATCATAAAACAGTATAAGTTGAAATATGTAAAAATATTGTTAAAAGTTAAAATAAATGACTCAGTTTTTCTGATGACAGGCAAAAAATATATGCTGTTATAATCTGAAAGATAAATAAGAATTTTTATGCCCCATACACCTTTGCATATAATTGCATACATTGAACTGCAAATTTAAGCTGCGGGAAAGAATTTAGAATTGGAAAATTGAACAAAATATTAAAAAAAAAAACCTTTGAATTTGAATAAAAACTGCATAATTGCATTGAATAAAAAGTAATACCGTAAATATAATAAATAATACGCATAATATGCATAATTCCTCATGTATTCAAAGAAATATTTTAATCTATGGATATTGCAAACTGATAGCTATTGCAAACTGATAAGCTATTACCGATTGGCTCGAAATTTTTCTTGTATTATATCGCTCAGGCGAAGTTAGAAAATATTTTCGGTAGATGATTTCCTTTTCTTTCTAAAAAAAATAAGATTAACTTAGAGATGTTTCTTAGGCAAAATATAAATTTAACTTATAGCTAACTTTACCGTGGTCAAACTACACTTCATAATGACACCGGTCAGCATCAGTGTCTATTCATCAAAAAAAGCAGGTACTAAATTCAACATCTTTTTACATACGTAATATATTTAAAAGATAAACAGCACGAAGATATTAACGGTTTGTCCGGTTTGACAGTGTAGTTCCTACCAGAAGTTTGACCAAAAAACACGCAAATATTTAATAGCGTGGAAATGTTTGAAGGATGCATAACATACGTAAGATGAGAACAACCAACGTCATTCATACAGTAGTAGTCACAGAGTTCGAGTCCTAGACATTAGTTTCATTTTTGTTTCTTCTTTGTTAGGTTATCAACATTTTCTCAAATTTGAAACAGCAGAAAAACATATCCTATCACCAGTTTCATAAACTAATCAGAACATGACAACTCTTTCATTCTTTAACCCACAATACCATTTTCGCTCGCAGCCTTGTCTTTGCAGCGTCCTTATAAAAGCTCTTCTTTTCTCACCTAAACACACATTTCTACAAGAGGCGTTTCGATAAATCGGCGAGGGAAGAGGAGGGGTTTTCGAAGCAGATCCAACAACAACACAGAGCAAATATCGTTTGTTAGCGGAAGGCAAAATTTACGGTCAAAAGTATTCGAATTCTCCTTAAAGACAGCATGCGTGAGCTTTATCAAGCACATTTGTTTTATTTCGAAGCGCGTGAGAGAGGGAATATTTAATTTCGGCATGACTTCAATCGCGGCAGCGGCGCAGACAATAGATTTGCAGTTGTACGCAAGTTCCTTAATGTGGAAAAGCATTTCATGAGACTACATCTGATCAAAAGATAGTACCTTAAGTTAAGAAGATACCGTGCACTGGCTGTTTTGAGTACACGAAAAAAAGATTTCACAGAAGATAATTAAAATTATAATACCCATGCCGAATTTTTCTAATCAAACGAATGTACAGAATGCAATAAAAGTTCATTTGTCTTAAGTATATTAACACAAAGTTAGAAAAAAAGGTACTTTTGGGATGCTATTTAGGCCAAAGATATTTTCTCCACATTTAAACAAAAATAAATACCGCTTTATATCTTAATTCATTTTTAAAAAACACACACTGAAGAAACCTGTTTCATTTTCGTAACATAGTAATAAATCTTTAACAGGCAAAGAACAAAACAGCAGTTAGGTGACAGAACTACCTAAAAAATCTGGAGGTAAATGGAAATGGCCGTCAGAAAGGCGGCCCTATAAATGAGATAGTCTGAAGTATATATATGTCAGGTTGAAGTGTTGAACAAGAATAATAACTGGTCTAAATGCTGTACTTTGAAATAATATTTAATATAATTCTTTTAACATAAAAGAAATAACTAGTAAATTATCTTAACATATTTTTTTAGATATTAGCCTGCGCACAAAAGACGAACTTCAAAACATCATTTTCATCGAAAAATGTATTACAGCCAAACGGATATTCAGAATATTTCAATTATACAATAAACCAAAATCACAGTTAAGTCCTTTTTTTAATCTCACCCCCCTAATTTTGATCATGTGTTTCTTCCACTATTTAAAAATATTTGCAATAAATAAATAAAAAAATAGACCATTGAATGTAAGAAGAATGGGCTCTTTGAATACATAAATTGCACATATTCCAGCAGTATATTCTAACCTCAAATAACTTTTCGGGAGAAACAATTTTAGGGAACATTGGGATTGAATAACTTTGGAATTCGCGTATTGTAACAAACCTTATCCCAGTTTAAAGACAGGCATTGATAAAGTTACCGATTACGTCCTCATCGTCTATGGTCGTTTCCCACCTTTGTCTCGGACCATACGCCAACCGAAATAAAAGCGAGTGTATCGCATGCATCGTTTATGTACAAAATAACCTAAACGATTCCATTCAGGTCAGATTGGTTAGACACGAGATGGGCTTTTGTATGAGTCGAGCGCCAGATGAAAGATTTGGGAGAAATGAATTTATGAATCTGTTCGGTGATGGTACTTTTACGCGAAACAGACTTATTCTTCTGCAAGGTCCTTTTGTGCTAGACATTGGATCAATCGCCGTTAACGCCGCGATAATTTCTGCACAACTACAAAGGGGGAAGAAGGGACAATTTAGCGTTTGTCCCCAA